ATACCCCAACTAGTTCCTTGATCCTTCAACACAGCTGCATCGACATTGATCTTGTAGGGCGCCATCACTGAAGGATCCCATTATCTCAAATTCCTCTTTTTTTCTTCTTGTTCCACTGCTGACTGTTCCATTCTTCCCAGATAAACCATAGGGCCACAAGAAACTCACCAAACTTCTCGTCGGGTATGATTCCTAGAGCTATTCCATGATACACATGTAATTTCTTCACCATTTGAGAACAGATTGCTTAATCTACTAGGTTGCCAAATGCTTCTCACCCAAGCACAATTCCTGAAAATATGCTCACGTGTTTCAATTAATCCACAGAACGGACACTCATCACAGCCTTTTTGAATTCGATCCACCACATTCTTCCCCGTTGGGAGGAAATTGTTTACCCATCGCCATCCGAATACCTTTTTTTCGTTGAATACCTTCACTTTTGGTGGGATATGAATTTTCCAGAATCTTGACCAGTTCACAGGGATATAAACCTTTTCCTCCTGCTCATTCTGTTTGATTCTCCATTCCTCATAGGCAGATCTCACTGTGTAGCTTCCATTCCTCTCAAGACCCACAAACTCTTTCACCTTGGGCGGGTTGTCTTGGGATTGGGATTTTGAGGATGTAATTTCTGTCCATAGGATTGAAATAGGATTGTAGGAGATCAGTGCGCCAAGATCGAGTGCCATGATCAATCAGCTCTGAGACTGAGGTGCTTCCATTTATAGACTTAAGCGGCGATGTAATTTGGCGAAAGTAGTCTATCGCCTCCAACAAGCAAGGGTAAGCTGAAGGTAAGTGTGTCATCAAGTCGACCCATTGTCAGTAGCTATAAATCGGTTGCCTCAAGTGGTAAACCACTTGGTTGAAGAGGTAGACCATTTTCTTGAAAAGTGGTCGACCACCTAGTTGCAGAGGTAGATGATTTGGTAAATGTGGTAGACCATTTTCTTAGAAAGTGATCGACCACTTAACAGAATAGGTCTACCATATTCTCTAAGTTTCGGTGACTAGCAAGTGAACATAAGCATACTCTAAAATTTATATTTACAATACAATTTTGAATGAAATAGTTCAATATAATTTCATTTTATTATATTTAAAAAAACAAACAAATTTTATTTCTAGAACACGACATCTCAAACGCCTGCTCACAAATATTATAATGAGCAGCGTGTGAGGGACTCTTTCATAAACAAGTTTACTAGCAACCATGCTGGGAACGTAAGGGATTGTTTTGTGGGATTGAATATCTGAAACTTCCAGAGAAGGAGAAGGACAGAAAGTCAGCAAGCGACACATCCATATTTCCATTAACGCAATCGTCGGAGAAGGCGAGCCAGAAATGGCGGGAGAGTACGCGTTTCCGGTTTCTAGTTTGTCAATTAGAATTTAGAATAGACATATCAGATCGAATCTCTACGTGGGTCCTTAATTTTCATCAAAAGTCCATTCTTTTTCATTTCTTTCCACTAGTCGTTGGCGTTGCATTACCAACCTAAGAGAGACCGGCCACCGGGCCTTCCCCGGAGCCGGAGATTTTGCTAGCGTGATTATAAACTAGCTAGCTTTCATGGTTGTCACGCTGGCCGGCGTGCCACCGGTTGTACCGGGTTCAACCGGTACCGGTCATAAAACTGGCGTGACACCACCGGTATGACCGGCATGATCGATATACGAATCTCTAAGTAAAATGACCTTATTTTAGAGAATTTAATTGATAAAAATTATTTTATTATTTATTTTATGAGTATAAAAGTTAAATATTGATGTTATTTGTTGGATTCAAATATAAATGTTTAGGTATTGACTTTAAATGTCATGTTCAAATATGAGTATTTATAATTTTATTTGTAATATTGACCGGCATGAACCGGCACAAACCAGTATGTGCCACCGGTTGAACCATTTCACTTGCTAAACCGGCACGCTGGCATAAACCGGTTTGACAACCTTGCTAGCTTTACATTTGTATCACTCTCCACGAGTAAAATCCAATGGTTTAGAAACCATACTCAGTGGCGGACCCATGAATTTTACATAGGGTATCCTCTTTTAAAAATAAATTAAATAAAAATATAATTAATAAAAAAAATCATAAATAAGAAAAATACCATACTCGTACATGTTAAAAAAAGTTCATGATGTGTTTTCATATTCAGAAATAATTGTCAAATACACTTGGTGTTTACAATGTTAAAAGAAATTATCTTTATATACCCTACTAAACAATCATTCACGAACTTATCGCATATTTGATTTGTAAACTTGTTTTTTATGTAATCCAAAGCTGAAAAACTCTTTCAACACTTGTCGTACAACAATAAAATCAATACAAATTAAGGGTAGCTTGAATTAGTTTATTAATTGTTAGGTTTTCAAAATAATTAGAGATAGTGAATGACATTTTACTATTACACAGTGTTCAAAATCGAACAACAAATGAGTTGTAGCTTAATGGAAATTATGTTTATTAATAATAATAGTGTTCTAGATTTGAATAACCTAACCTACCACTTATATTTTCATACAAAAATTTAAAAAATGATAGTAGAACAATCATTTTTTCAAATTTCAGAGGTGTCCCTCACTGTCAATTATAATTTTTTTTTTCCATACATAAATTACCATCGAGTGTTGGATAATTTTAGGGGTGTCCCGAGTGTACGCACCTAACCGTACCCTATTACCAATTCTGACCATCGTCCATGACCATCGTAGTTTATGGGACACAGTCAAGAAATTATTCATTACTCTAGTTTCCACCTACGTCCATGACCATCGTATTTAACCGGACCCACCTCCACCTCCCATAGCCTAATTGTCCTCACTGTGTCCCTACCGAAATGACTTCCCACCTCCTCCGCTTTGCCTTTGCTTGGTTTTGTCTTCCTGTGGCTGATCCATAGCTACCTAGCTAGGAAGCGGACAATTTGTCAATTTCTCGTCTCGTCTTCCTTTCACTTTTTAAACTTCGCCATATCCCATCAATCATTTCTCATTTCATTTCCCTAGCTTGTGACGAATTCCCCGAGCCGCCTACACCTAATTAGCTCTTACTACGGTCTATAGTTTATAGTACTTGAACCCGCTCCTCACCACAACTATGCTGCAAGACAAGCGTCCGAGCCCACGCTCCTTCCTCACTCCTCCTCCGACGTCGTCCTCAGCGGCCAAGCGGCTGAAGCCCGACGCCGCCATGAGCAGGGACAGGAAAGACAAGCAGCTGGGAGAGAAGATCGTGGCTCTGCAGCAGTTGGTGTCTCCGTACGGCAAGACCGACACGGCGTCGGTTCTCCAGGAAGCCATGGACTACATCTCCTTCCTTCACGACCAGCTTAAGGTGCTAAGCGCTCCCTATCTCCTCTCCGCCGCCTCCGCCGCCGCCGGTCCGGGTCTGCGAGGCAGAGGGCTCTGTCTTGTTCCGGTGGCCGCCACGGCTGCTATTGATCGCACCAATGGGGCGGACCTCTGGGCTCCCACCAAGACGGCGCCGTCTGCTTCTCCCAGGATCGAGAAGCTACCGCACCAGCCGCCTATTTCAGCCTATCAATTTTTAGGCCGATAGAGAAGCTAGCTAGCCGTGCATTTTGGGTGCAACGAGGTTCGTTGATTGTGAAACTAGTTTTGCAAAGCACAAGTTTATGTGAAACTTCAAACCAAGTTAAGGCTGGACTCTTTTGGCAGACAGAAATTATGAAGTCATATTAATGGGAGAGAATAAACAAATGTTATTCGGCATCGTCCTCTAGCTAGTTATCTGCTACTTGCTCTGCTTCGTGGATTATGCGCATTTGGTTCCGGTGGTGGCTGCTTCTATGCGCATGCATGCTTTCATGTTTTGTGCTGCTATCCATTTTTAGTCCTCGCCGTTAAACCAGATTGGCTATACGTTCGATTGGTGCAGCATCACAAATTTTATGAAGAGGTGTTCTCTTCCTCATAATAAAAAAAAACTAGCTAGTACTAATATTCTATTTTTAAAAATGAAAATATTTTATTAACACTAGTTACATCGTAATGATTTTTATTCGGAAAGTGTCAGTAGAAGAAATGAGTCAAAGCTCTTTAATGTTTGGATGAAAAATTGGTATCTCATTCAACTTTGATTTGATGTATATATTTATTTCGTATTTCGATTTTAGCGAAAAACGACGGATAGTATAGTGAAGAGAGACATTTTGGTGTCATTTTAAGGCACGAATAAGTGTTGGATAGGCATTATAATATATCAACGACGCACTTGGGATACCTTATATTCGTCCAAGGCAAGACGTTTACCTTGTAGTTATAGCCTAAAGCCTAACTGAGTTTAGGCAAGCATCTAGGTACGATTTTTAGAACTATAGTTTATATTAATAGTCTTTGTAGAACCGGCAAGTTGATTGGCCAGTTTGGACGATAAGAAGAAAAAATGGGTGAAATTAAACAGAATTGGTATTTTGTTACTTCATGATAATTTTCTGACCATTTTGTAATGTGACATTTTGAAGTTTTTAGCCAACTCATGTCTTTCTTTACTAAAATCGAAACAAATGAAAGAAAAGCCAGAACATTTCGGCCTCTAAGATTACTATTTCCTTCAAAACGGATGTGTATTCAAAGCAATGAAAGCAAACGAAGACTGCCCAGCAGATCAGAGCCGTTTTTCCTTACAACTAAACTGAGCTCTCGAACATAACAAGTTACAGAAACAGGGTTGTCTAGCATCCTGAGTCAGCAGAAATCCCCAGGTTCCGACCTGGGAGCAAGGAAAGGAACCAAACTTGGCTACCTTATGCAGCTGCAGTACCCACAAATAACGAACGCACACTAATGCAACAAAAAGCAGAAGCCAGAGAAAGATCCCCGATCGCCTGACTAACTTTGAATCTCATAGAACCAATAAGAAAACACGCCAAAGATAACAGTATATTAGAGAGGAAATTCATTATTCATATTCACAAGAATTTCTCAATCAATAAATAGATAGCTTTCTACAAAATGGTGATCTGAGACTAGCTTTCGGAAACCGAACATCCATGCCTAAGGAAAAGGTTCCTCTGCTGATCACTAAACATACTCCCACAAGGAGGAATAACTTTCCTAAGTGAAGGCCTTGTGAACACCATCAATGCAACAATATCATTCCCCAAACTCTCACAACTCCTCAGGTTTATCTCCCTCAACTTCTTGCAATGCTCCACCACTCGACCCACGCCCTGTTTTGTGACACTTAAGCAAGATTCCAAGTCTAATTGCAACAGCCCCTTACAGCTCTCTGCAATCATTCCTAGTGCTTCATTATCCAGAACAGATCCTTGAGCTTTCAGTACCTCCAACTCAGGAAGATCAAAGTCAATGACAAGGCTTTTAATTCCAAAACATCGACTAATCTCCAGGTGCCTTAGCCGAGTGCAGTTGCTTAAAACTTGAGTAACTGCATCTTCTGTGATATTGGGGCAGTAGCTGATGTTAAGCATTTCCAAATTCGGACAGCCTAAAGCAACCCTTTTCAGACACTCATCATTCAAGCTATTATTGCCAGCCAAATCCAGGGTCTTGATTTTGGATTTCTTCAAGGCGAGTTCCTGCCACTCTTCCACCCCGATATTTGTGCTCTCCATCTTAACATCTTCGAGCAATGGGCAGGCATTCATCAGGGTAAAGAATGTAAGCCCTGTGAGCTTAGAACAGAGGCCAAGGTTTATGAATGTCAAGTTGGGAAGGTAGTTGCAGAACTCAATCATGGACTCATCGGTGAGAAAATTTGCTCCTTCGAGATCCAAGTACGCTAAGAATTGATATCTCAGCAACAAGTACTGAACCCCAACAGAACTGAAATTATAGCAGTGGGAGATTGACAACTTCTCCAGAGAAAGATTTGCTTCTGCAACCAAACTTAGCAATTCATCTGATATAAACGAGTTGGACAGATGAAGCGCGCCCAAGTTCTTCGCATAGGCAAACGACTCCTTCATGGAGGAATCCAGCGAAGGGATGCCAATTCCGTCCAAAGCCACGGAGTTCAAGTTCACGGTACTTCGTAGAGCCAACCCAATTCCAGCCTGGGTTATGAAATCGCAATCAAGAAGCACGATTTCGCTCAACAAGGAGCAATTCAACGACAAAGACAAAACCGATTTATCAGTAATGAACTGGTTACCGGAAATGTCGATCCGCCGCAAGTCGATCAGCTTCGAAGACAAATCAGCGATCCCTTCGTCGGTCACGAAGGTCATAAACGACTGCAAATCCAACGAGCCGTTAGGATTGAAGCGCGAGCTGTACTGAGGGAAGCTGATATCGAGATCCTGCAGGAAAGGAAACGATTTCCCAATCACAACCAGATCGGCGTTCTGCAACCCGGAGATCTTGGAGCAATTCAGCTCCTTGAGATTCGTCATTCTACTCCCCAACGCGGCGAGCCCCTCGGAAGGGAAGTAGCAGTGACCTGAGATGTCAAGAGATTCGAGGTCGAGCGGAGATTTCGAGATTCGGAAGAGGAGGGAGTTGAGGTCGCCGTGAAAGTCGCGGACTTTGATCTCTGTGACATTCGGGAATCGCCGGAGAAGGAGGGACAGCGACGGGGCCGTACGGGAGGTGATGGTGAGGGAACGGCGGAGGTGATTGGTGATGGAGAGGAATTGGGAGGAGACGAGGGAGAGGGACTCGAAGCTTCGATTCTGATCGAGGGAATTCATAATCGATTCCCAGCATTCGGCCGGCAATTCAGCTGGCTTGTTAGTTTCTGCCATCGGATTGCGGAATCGTGGAAGATGGAATTGGGAAATTGGGATCAGGGTTTGTCGAGAGAGAGGGAAAGTGGTAAGGATGATCGGCGAAATTTCTGGATCGTTGGGAGTTTCGGCGAAGTGGATGACGGGTTGGTGGATCATGGATGCGGGCCAGGTGGGTGCACCGACGCCGTAACGGGTGGATATCCAGAAATCCGTTTCAGATGGGACCCCCGGAGTGGTGACGATCGGGTTTTTTACTTTTATTTTTCAAATCAATTCGGATAATCGGATCTCAACGGGCGGAGATCGCTCACATAATTATTGGTGAATAGCAGTTTGAATCCCTCTACTTATGCCCTTTCAGGGAACAACTGCGTGTACTATGATTCGTATAAATCAAGTCCCTGCAGTATCTCACCTTTACAAATCTAGCCTCTTTATTTCTATTACTGTTCAAAATGGCACCTGCATTGTGAGTTAACATGATAACCAGCAATTGCAAATTGCGTTTATATGTTTTTGTTGCCCCCCTCCCCCATATTTGCAAGAAACAAAGATAATACAAGGGTTCTTCCCTTGTATTATCGATGTGATACTTGGATTGTCACATAACAATTCTCCCCTCAAGCTAAGGACCACGAACATCGTGTCCTTACCTCAGTGATTATCTTAATTCGCCAGACGCCTTGTATCAATGAACTTCTCGGTACAAGGACTTTACCAGACGCAGAACTCTCTTTGATCTGTTTCCCAAATGCGGAACTCTCCTTTGACCTGCCAGACAAACGCATATCTCAAATCCCAAGGTCACTAAATGAGGGTCCACCAAACTGACGTCCCCCCCCCCCCCCCCCGATCCGCGGAACCAGGCTCTGATACCACTTGTCAGAACAGAAGCGTGCAATCGATAATCAAAATCAACACAAACGAACACAAATTTAACGTGGTTCACTAACACACTGTGTGTGCTAGCTAATCCACGGGCACGGGAGAACAAATTTCACTGATTTGAGTAGAGTACAGGTTACAAACCAAATTCCTGAACGGACAAACCAAACAAACTAACCTAACTGACCTTACTATAGACTAGGGTGATGAAGAGTATTTATAGAACTCTTCTCCTAATCTCAAAGAGAAAACCAAACACCTTTTTTCCAAAAAATACAAGGAAAAGATCAAACAAAACCCAAACCCAAAAATACAAGTAAAACCGTGCGGGCTTGGCCCAAAGCGGACAATATCGTACTAATTGAGCACCCCAATTTCGACAGTCATATTCCACCCCTAGTCAGTGAAATATGAAATCACAGCTCCCTGACACAAAAGTTGAATACCAAACTCAAAAAGAAAAAATCTCCACGTTGAGTAAGATCGATATACAAAATTGTAACTCCACGAACAACACAATTGTATATCGGTATTGTCTAACTACGAACAAAAAATACGCTAGTGGCGGCCTCAACTACATGCTTGCAAAGATGAATTTTTGCTTGTAACTACACCTAACCCGCACCAACCCACAGTGGATAGTGATTATTCATTAACCACTGCAGTGCGAGTTGTGGGTAGGATAATTGTAAATTTATAAGTGTGAGTATCCGCAAAATGTGAGACAAGTAACTACACCCAACCTAATTTCCACCCCGGCAGCAAAGCACGGTACCAACCTAGTTGTTTCCTATAAGCATCAAGCATGCATGGAAATTATGTTATTTGCCTTGTCTGCTTGAACAGAACGATGATGATGGCCTACTACGCGTTTGCCCTCCATTTGTCCCATGACGATGGAAAACTATGTAGTCGCTAACGTTTGTTTCTCCCGTTTGTACTGAAGCAATTTTCCACGATCCCATTTGTTTCGATCTGGAGACGAAATTGTCAAGATCGATGCTTCGAAAAGGTCAAGATCATGTTCGTATCAGTTATCACAGGCCACAGCTATACCATTACCATACACTAATTCCATGGGTACAGCAATGAATAATTGGTTTCTGCTGAGCCCAGTATTAATTGCATGTATCATGACGAGGGAGTTGGTTTGGAAGTCCCTTAAGAATGATGATTAATTGATTAGTATTATTAATTAACAGCTTTTGGCAGGTAATCATTTGGATCTTGCATCACCAGCTTGGCTTTCTGTTGCTGCTTAGATTTGTGTTTCTGTCTCTATTTATCGGATTTGAAAGAGAGGTGATCATGATTTTCGACAAGAAAAAATATTTTGTGTAAATTTAATATAATTGTACTTATACTTATTGAATAACAATTTTAAACGTGATCCACACCTCTTCGAACACAGTTGGAACATGCATAGATGTTTGATATGATATTTGGAACAAAATAAGTTAAATTGTATCTCCTCTTATGAAGGTTTAGAGCATGTACAATGGTGCAATTCTAGAGAATTGCAAGCTGATGTAGCAAGGTATTGCAATTGCAACTTTGAATAGCATTGATGTGAGGAGTTATTGCAAGGATGCAAATTTGCTTTGTTGCAATTCAAAGTGGCCCGCTGGTGGACCCCTTTTTTATCCTTTATTATATATATATACTTTAATGGTTTAAAATGATAGAGATAGTATATAAATGGTTTAGTAGCATTAAATTAATGTGTTGGTCTCACCCACTGAAATTGCAACTGGATTGCATTGATGTAAGGAGGATGAAATTTAGAAGTGTTATTTTCTAAAAGTTGTAAAAATGGAAGTTGGGACTACCTATGAAATTGCAAATGAATTTCATTGTTGGAGATGCTCTTAGAAAGAGTTCCACAAACATAGAACTCTTTATGTTACTTTAATTTGCATAGAAAAGGTACGATTTGAGTTGAACTTCACTCAAGTCTAGCAGCCTTGGCTCAAAGATAAAGTCTCTCAATCACACCATTAACAGCCCTAGTCACCCATACTTAGATTCTTTGCTACCCACCTTGATATAACGAAAACCTAATGCCCAAGTAGGGATGGCAATTTACCCACCCATGGGTAATTTTGTCCAAACCCAAGTAGACCCATTTATTATGGGTAGGGTTTGGGTGATGTGTGTATGGGTTTGGGGTTTGTATACGGGTTTGGGTTAGACATGGATATTATCTAAATGGGTATGGGTTGGATATGGATATCCATTTACTTGAAGGTGTTTTAACTACACATGCAAAAATTGGACTTATTTGTAAAACTTAAAAAATTTAGGTACCAAAATGTAAGACCAAAAAAATTTAGGTACCAAAATGTAATTTTCCATCAATATTTTGAGGACTTATATGCAAAAAAATTAAATTTAGGTACTAAATATGCATATCTATTAAGTTTAGGTACCAAACTGTAATTTGTATTTGGGCATGGGTACAAACCCAAATCCATTTGTTATAAACCCAACCCAACCCAAAATAAATGGGTATGGGTACAAACCCATCAAACTTTACCCATATCCATATATTTGGATTTCATACCCAACCCAATTAGGTTGGATAGTAAAATACTCATGGGTATGGGCAAAATTGCCATCCCTATGCCCAAGTAACCGACCCTTCCAAGTCGTTGGTACTTTGCCCATCTCGTCGGCTTCCACCAAGCCTCTTGGAAACACTCAAAATCCCCACCCATTCTGAAAGGCATCCATCTTTGAAACACTCAACTAATTATTAGTTTCCTCTGCTAGCTAGGTAAACAAACTAGAACATTTAGAAGACACAAACTTGTGATCATTGATTAAAACCTCAAATAACATGGCAGGATCTAATCCATTTCTATAATCTAAATGGCAGAGAGCGAGATAAAAATGGATTCCATATAGTTTATTTACAATGTGCTATCGTGAAACGGAACAATTCTATGAAGTTTTCATTTCAAATAATAATGCAATGAAGGAGAAGAGAAAGGATAGAATACCCCAAAACAAAAAACAAAAAAAACCTACAGAAGTTTAATGGAAATTTAAGCCCATTTTGCAAGTAGGGACATAAAGCCAGAACCTAAAAGAAGAGAAATTTGCACTCCGATTTGAAGTCGTCCACTGGCTTGCACTTTTGGGTTCATGAAGTCAGCTGCGAGCATATCCACAAGTGCCATGTATATCAAGATTCCAGATGATGCTGCATTGAACACTCCTTCCATTATCAAAGCAGTTGGACTATTCTCCTTGTACACGTTGGATATGCCGAATCCAATTGCGATTCCTAGTGGAGTTGTGAGTGAGAAGAAGACAGACATCCATGCCACAACTCTGGCCTTGAATTTCGCCTGGGGAAATTATGGCTCGGTTTAGCACAATTACTTGAATTTTCGAATAAAATCCAAAGCGTTAGTTATCGAGGTGCCTTAAACGCATCTCATTGTCATTCGTACTTCGACGCCCTTAACATATAACAAGTATGATGGTTCACTTACTTTATCATGTGACAGATTTATTATTATAAAGTAATAATGGAGGACAATAGCGGAGTAGCTTCAAAATTACAACAGCGAAAGTGAAAATGAAACTGGGAATTTGGTTATAAATAAATGAAATACCTGAGCAATGCAGCCTCCAAGTCCCATTCCTTCAAAGAATTGATGGAACGTCAGGGCGGCAACCAAAGGTCTTATTGTCTTGGGACTCTCCGATGCGCCCAACGAAATGCCTATTATCACTGAGTGCACGACGATGCCAACCTCCAAAACCTAACACCATAGTCAACACACAAATAAATAAAAACAACATAAATTCTTATAAAAATAAAAATAAACTGCATAAAATATGAATTTTGAACAATCATTTTAAAAAGAATGTCAAACTAGCTAGGAGACTATTATGTAGCGTCTCATCGATGTATACAAAAGCCTTATTCGTTCACCTTAAATAATGAGATCAGCCAGACCTAATTAACATTATTCAACTACTAAATAGACGAAAATTCAAACAACAAATCATATCAAAACTAATCATTATTAGATTCTTAAAAAAAAAGTTTATCCAGCAAAACTAACAAAAAATTCATCCATAATGTAATAATTATTAGTTGCTCATATCATATATAAGCAAATCAAAATAAGTTGCAGTATAAAAAAAAATCAGAATTAGTTACTAATTAATTACCTGCGAGATGACGCGGTGGCGAGTGAGTTGCGCCTCATCAGAACTCGCCCCCGCCGAAATAGCGCCGTGAGAATGGCCGTGAGTCGCATGCGTATGCACGTGCACGTGACCACCGCCGCCGCCGCCGCCATCCGTCGCCTCAAGATCGCCGCCGCCGCCGTCCTTCCCATCCTCACAATTTTTACCATGTGCCCTCGTGTAATACGAAGTCGCAAAGGAATCGATCGCCAGAGTCCCCATCGCGGCCACCATGGCGATAAATCCGGCGAAGGGGAAATCGCCCCAGGGTTTCTTGGGGAGACAGGGCGAGGTCAAACTCTCGAACGCGTCGGGGAACACGTGGATGAATCCGGTGGAAAGGATGACCCCGGCGGCGAAGGCCTTCACGAGGAAGAACACGTTCTTGTCCGGGTGCAAGGCCGGAATCTTTTTCTGTGCCACCACGGGGAGGCAGACTCCGATCGTTCCGGCCAGCAGAATCGACGCGAGTGCGACCAGCTTGTACTTCAGCGCCGTCGCACGGTCGCGGTCGGAATTATCGTCAGCCTCGCACTCTCCCAAGACAACTGCCGGCGATAGGAGTAGAAGAAGAAGAAGTACAAGGAGAGAGGAGAACGAGAAATTGCGCCGTTGATTCATTTGTGGACGGGACGGAGTGTTTCCGTGGAGCGGGGAAATTTTAGGCTTTTTTTTTTCCTTCTATTTGTGGGTTTTGCGTTAGTTTTTGAGTTTATATATAGATAGATATAGTGATGGGTATTTGTTTCTCTATGAGGAGAAGACTGTTTATGTCGACATAATGGCATGCTATGTTTTGCGCAGGCGGAGACGTCGTCACTGCTTCACATGAGAGTAAGGGAAAGAGAAAGTAACTACAAAGCATTAAACGAGTTCTATGACGTAAAGGTGGGGGGAAAATGTCACATCCTATTATTAAAATATATTATAGAAACAATTTAATTTTATCAGCGGTAAAATATTGAGTGATTAATGAGATGCTGAAATTAGTTAATAAAATTTTATAAAAATGGATGGAAAAAATAGGGTTGTTAAACATACGCTCTAGTTTTTACTTAAATTGTTTTATTTCAAAAGTTAAAGATTACTTCTTTATCCTTCTTATTTTTTTTATTGTTAGAAGATAACAAATACAATGTGGAAAAACAAAAAATCACCCTCTCCATCCTCCCCCGAAAATCCAACAGCCACCGGTTGCCACTTGCCACCCACTCATATGGCCGACCAAAACTCTTATTAACTATACGATACCACATATTTGAGCATACACAAAACGGTTATTCCGTCATTCTACATCCAAAAATATGTTAGTTTTGTCCAGTTAGCACTCCACATCGCCAAAATTATTAATAAAAAATTTATTTAACTAAACAACCCAACTCACCTGAACTTAACCCACATCCTCTTTTAAAACATGTAACACGATGGTCACATAACTTTCTAGCTCATTACAAAATTGTTAGACAATCGCATTTTTGCACGTCAGAGCTCTCCCAATCATTGTTGCCATTGTCTGGATGTTCTCACGGGCGGAGCTACTTAGAAGGTAGGGTGGGCCCCGACCCTTCCAGGAATAGTTCAGGCCCCTAAGACCTTAAAGATATTCAGATAAAATTTGAATAAGTAGGACTCGGCCAAAACATTAGTTCATATAACTATCATGTAGTCCACTCGTAGCTAATTTAGTTATTAGTCTAAAGCACCCAGGTTCAATTTACCACTACCTAACATTTTGTTTTATTTTGAGTGATTTTAATGATTTTAAGACTATATTGAAAGAAAGATAGCAAAAACATTTAGTTTAGATGCTATTTTGAGTAATTTTTTAATGATTTCAAAGAACGTTGTATACTTTTAAAATAATTATAAATAATTATTTTATTTTTATTTACATCTAATTATTTTCGTCCCACACGGTGTCGAAATCATGGCTCTACCCCTGGATGTTCTTAATCATGTGACTTGAAGCTGTTTCTCATGGTCTAGTCCTTGTAAGTCTTACCCTTTCAAGCCTCTCGTTTCTTTGTTTATATGATTTCCTGTTGTAGGTCCACGAAAGGTTTAATTTGGAAATTAGGGAACTTTTGGAGTAAATTGATGCATCCACATAAAGTATGTACTTTTGTGTGTGGGTTAACTCCCTTGGAATTGTACTCGCCATAGCTTGTAAAGATAATGTCTTCAGCCTAACTTTGTATTCACTAGTTATTAAGTGATTGGAAGAGCTCCGACGAGCAGAAATGAGACTGTATGAACATTTTGTTACGAACTAGAGAGTTTCGTAACCATAGTGTTGCATGTTTCAACAGAGAGGATGGGTTACGTCTAGGTGGGTTGGGTCGCTTGTACAAAACTAATAGATTTTTGCACGTAGAAGAACTGGATGGCCATTTTGGTATATGCTCAAACCTGTTTTACCATATCGTTACAAATTAAAGGCTTGTGACTATTTTGTATTAAGTGCAAAGGTTTGTGACCGTTTATACTAACCGCCCATTTTTTTATGTGTTATAACTATAAGTTAATTTGGGTAATTAATTAGTGTCATTATGTAAAAGAAACAAGTGGTAGCCGAATTGGAAAGAAAGCTTTGTTCTCTCTCATCTATGGAAATCGACACGAACCCTTCGACGGTCGTTCTCATCCCCACCGGCAGACTGCCAGACTCTCATGGTGCAGGAGAGATGATCATGAGGGATACGGGGACTGTCCCGCCGACCTTCTATTTTCCGCCGCTGGCAAATACCATACTGACAGACAAAGGAGCAATGGCTATGGTCATGACCCCAGTGGCCACTAGCGCCACCGATGAACAAGCGGCGTCCTCGTACGCCAGTGCGGTTACAGGAAGGACCAAAGACCGATGTGACAATCTTGTGGCATGGACACCAATCGAACTCAGGACCTCACACAAGGAACACACGAAGGGGAGTCATCTCTGGTGGTGTCAGATGGGCTCAGATCGAGGCTGTCCCTGCCCCGGCAAAGGTCTTTGGTGGTTCGTGCGCTGGGATTGAAAGTATCATTTACCACATTCAAACAGAGGATCCGTGTCCAATGGAGACCAACTGGAGAAATGGAAATCTGGGGGCTCAGGCGGGATTGCTTCCTAATCAAGCTAACAACGGGAACGACTACCTTCGCGCTTTGACAGATGGTCTTTGGACCATTTTTGACCACTACCTTGTGGTCCAACAATGGACCCCTAATTTTCTACTCCACGAGAAGCTTCCCAATTCAATGGTGGTGTGGGTGCAGTTTTCAGCTCTCCCAATTCATTTCTACCATAAAGAGATCTTGTTCTCTTTGGGTAATATGCTGGGAAGAGAGGTAAAGCTAGATTACCACACTCAACATCAAGAACGAGCCAAGTTTGCACGTGTGGCAGTGGAAGTGGATTTATCGAAACCCCTAGTTCCTCGTTCTGGCTAGATGGGGCATGACAATATGTGGCATATGAAAATTTTCCGGTCGTGTGCTTCGAATATGGAAAAGTAGTTCATACGTCCACTAGTTGTTCATCAATCCGCCTAAACACACAACAGACTGACAATGGCACGGTGGCACTGACGCCGGCGTCCGCCTCCACTCCGACGGCAGATGCAGACGAATAAGCGGGCTATGGGCCGTGGATGCAGGTCTCACGAAAATCACAGCGAGGGAACAGGGGATCAGACAGGGGTGGGGCTCCCAACAGTACAGAGGATTCTCCCCGAATAAAGGAAAGTCAAATGGATGGATAGGCGGGGGAAATGGCAGGATCCCGCAAGGATCGTGAATCGAAACAAGGAAACTCACCAACTCAGAGAAAGAAACAGATTGTTCAGGACAAGGAAAGAAAGTTGGAGACATGGAAAGAGAAAAGACAAAAATGAGGCTTCAAAAAGGGAAGGGGAAAGTAAATGAGGAATTTCCATCTTTGGGGAAGGAGACGAAGGGAATCTTGGGGGCTCGGCCAGGTACTGAGACCGGTAATATGGAGCAGAAATAGAGAGGTGGACCTCCTCCTCTACCCAAACAAGGAGTGAATCTTCTTCTGCTGGCCGAGGCCCATGACGAGCACGACAGCTCAAGGCCACCCATTACCAAAGTTTTCTATGGGCCGCAGACAACGACCATTCAAGTTATTGAGGCCTTGCCTCCTAAACCAAACCCCCCTCGTCAACCCGACCCAAATGTCCCATCGGCGACAACGAGAACTAAAAACCAAAAGAAGCACAGATCCCCTCAGAGAAAACAGGGAACTATGATCACTTCTTCGTCCAAAGCTCTTCAGATTGGGACGCCGGTGAAGGATAAGAGAAGGAAACCCAAAGCCACGACTGCAGCAGCGTTGCTCACCCTCCGGGAAATCGAATCCTGGACTTTCAGACCAACAGAAGGACAGGAAGATGCTTTCGATTCGGGAAACATAGAGGACAAGACGATGGGGACGAGTGAGGGTTTAGCGGCGACCCTTTGATGTACCCCTCCCCCATCGACGATCTGCTTTCTTCTTACCCTCCCTCCCTCTCTTTTCTCTTTTATTTTTCCCCTATGAATTAGTCTTTTCCTCATTGTAAAGTTCTCTCTTAGAACATTGGGGGAGCGAAGAGTGCAGAATCCTCCCGCTCTCTCAAGTTCATTACGCAAGTTTATAATCCTGATATTCTCATTCTCTTGGAACCGCAGGTCAGTGGAGCTACCGCTGATCAGGTGTGCCACCATCTAGGCTACTCTAATGTGTTGCGAGCTGAAGCTAATGGGTGCAAAGGGGGCATTTGGATTTTCTATAATATTGCAGTTTTACAGCTGGAGCTAATGACAGCTTGCTTTCAGCACATTTCAGTCAGAGTTTCAGATGGAACCTCGCCTCCTTGGCTTTTGACTGCAGCGCCGCAACCCAGCCTTCAACCAGCTCTGTGGGAAAGCATATTCTCCACCTGCACAACAAATGAGCTTCCCTGGCTTATCACCGGTGATTTTAACGGTATTCGCAACCTAGAGGACAACACGGGGCACACTTCGCTTAACACCCTTCGGCGGTGCAGGACCTTCAATGACTGAATCAACAAGGCCGGCTTCATTGATCTGGGCTTTACAGGACCTTGTTTCACCTGGACTCGGGGCAATCAAACATCCTCTTATAAGGCTAGTCGAATTGACCGGAGTCTGTGTAACGACATTTGGAATCAAGCCTACCCTAATACCAGGGTTGCCCATTTGCCAATACTGCACTCTGTCCACCATCCCATAATGACCAGCTTTGCTATCCAGGGAGGCTTGACTAACTCTGCTAAAAGATTTCATTTTGAAGCCGCTTGGTTAACTCATGATACGTATGCCTATTTTCTCTCAGGAAACTGAAATGGTGCTATCCCTCTTCCTACAGCTTTGGGAGACTTGGAATCCAAACTCAAGTAGTGAAATCATGATGTTTTTGGCAACATTTTTCAGCAGAAAAAGAGACTACTCAAAAGGATCGAAGGGGTTCAAAAGCGGATGGGTGAGTGTTTCTCCCCGGGGCTGTCGAAACTCCATGCCAAACTAGAAGCAGAGCTCGATAAAATCCTAGAGCAAGAAGAGCTTCTTTGGTTTCAGCAAGCATGGGAGAAATGGATTCAGTTTGACGAAAGAAATACCTCGTACTTTCATCAACAAACCAACATCCGTTGGCAGAAGAACATGATCGTCTCCCAAAAAAATCAAGT